GTCTTTATCATACCACCAAAAACCACTTGATAGCATCCAATTTTTGGAATCTGAGTTTGAAAATCGTGCAACAAGGGTCCAAACCTGAAAACAAAGAGTAGAGAAAAAATACTTCGTGAAAAAAAAACAATTGAAAAAATAAATAACTGAATAAAACAAAAAAAGGAAAACGAAAAAAAAAAATGAAAAAAACTCTTGAAACGTACCGCAGCTGGTGTTGTTAACGCTGTTGTCATGGGAGATGTAGTCGGTGGAGGAGGCGGAGGCGTTGTAGGTTCAACTTTTAAATAGCAAACAAACAATAAACCAATTAAAGCAAGAACTTCTTTTTCCACGTGTTAAAAAATCATCGATTTTTCCGTTGCATTTGACCTTTAAATTTTAAGCAAGTTTAGAAGCATCAGCTTCTGAGTTATCGGGAATTAATTAAAACCTGTTAACCTAATGCATGCCGTTAGTGCCAGGCATTCTATTGGATAAGAAATCAGATTTCAGAGGCAGCATTCCCTTGCACAAAACGAATTTTTCATGATTTTGTTTTAAATCAACAATCAAGTTTTATATTTTTCACCATTTTTTACAATACAGTCGATGACGTAATAGTCTTACCTTTTTCACAATGCACACCACTGAATCCGTACGAACACTCGCACACGTAACTGTTCTTGTCGTAGAGGGCTATGCACGTTGCTCCATTAGAACATGGTCGAGACTCACATGGACTCTACAAAACGATTTTTCAAAAAAATGTATTGTTGTCGAAAGTAAACACATATTGTGCGGAGCAAGTACCCCCCGTAACCGGTCCAGAATTTTCCATCTGAATGCCCTGTGGGTGTTAGATCTCTATGTCCAAAAGTGTAAATCATGATATCTTATGATTGAAGAATTATTCAAGTAATGAAATCCTGATGAGATATCATTGCGCGCCGTGAAAAAGTGTCGCTTAATATTACAGGAACTGGTGTTAAATGCCCGCCATTGGGTTTTAAAGGGTGCAGAAAACACGCTTGGTTTAGATAAAATGCACCTGGGTAGAAGGGTATATATCTTTTGTCTTCGTTTATACAAAACAAAAGTGTTTGCTAGACTACCTACTAGGGGCACACCATACTTCATATAAACGGCCCCTTATTATTTATACCAGGTGTTATGAACAATGATTTCATTACTGCGCATCAGATAAGTTATAGTCAAACTTATAATAAAGTTTTGACAAAAAAGTTAAGAAAAACGAAACTTACTTTAATGCTGTAGTGCGACTGCCCACTCTTGCCAGTCAAAAACTTGCTTGAATCTTTGTACTTGTCTGTAGACAGGATCTCACAAGCATGTCTTCCATATTCATCAGGATTAACAGCAAAATTAAACGAGAATCCTTGAGAATGCTTTGCGCAGATTAACGCACATTCTCCAGGTTTTTTCACAAAGCCTTTCAACGCCGCAGTGACATCTAAAAAACTGTTTTCATGTTTGACAAAGTTTGCATACCCGGATTTGTCAATTTGATCTCTCTTGATGCTTKTTATTATTCTGGCAGAAGGACTGCTTGACCCCGCTATGCATTCCATGGGGGAAATGGATAAAAATATGATAAATGCTGAAAATGGGTGACATTTAAAGTTGATCATGTTGTCAGATGTGATTGTACCGTGCGAATATGTCCTTTGTATCATCTAACCCTTAAAATAACTCACATTAATAACTGATAAAGTTGAATCATAACCATGACAATTAGGTCGCTGCATCTCTAACCATAAACTCCTCGCAGCCGTTAACGGTGTCTTATTAGTGAGACGAAAATATCACTTACAATTTTTATCCGTCAACGAAAACTGGCCAATTGTTTTTGTTTTGTTTTTTTGCTTTGTATATTTTTTGGTGGCTCATTTGTTTTCATCTGTGCTTCAGTGAATGAAACAATCCAAGATTCAAAATTCATGTCATTCGTTAAACGGTCACTACAATGCGATCAAATGTTTCATATCTCTGAACAATATCTTTCCCACGCGACATAAAGTATAGTGTACCCCAAGGATCAATATTAGGCCCATTTTTCTTCAAAATGTATTTAGCTCCAATTCAGGATATCCTTCTTAAGCATAACTTAAAAACATTCTGCGTGGTGACGATAATTTATTAAAAATAGAAAATAGCTTTATAACACTGTAAAACTCAACATTCTCTATTTCCAATATATCAATAACACGAACATGCTGAATTTGAAATTGCTTTTTTTTTTGCTCACAGTTCACCGAGAAATGTGATTTTCTACCAATTTTTTCCTTTTGTGATACCTCAAGTCCCTGACCTGGCTCGAAATCTTTGGAGTAATGTTTGCTATAGAACCTAACAAGTTTAATCTATTTGATAAAATGTTATGGCACCGTAACATGTATTAGTCGTTTATGAAGTATGATCTCATAAGATTTAGCTTTTGTCAGCCCTCATCATGATAACTGTAATACCACGAGTAACATTGGTTGATCAGTAAAAGAAGAACAAAGAAAACAGAAGTGAAAAGAAGGAGCCTCTCAAGGACTATAAGGAGGAGGTACCACTGGAAAAGTCACATTGACTAATCAAATCATTTACGGCCTTCATTGGGTCTAAGTGTTTAAGAATTAGAAGCTATTTTCCACGTTTCCATTCTCTGCCATTAGGAACACTAGGATAGAAAGGGGATCTCTTTCAGCTCCTGATTCAAAACTTTATAGAGCTTCTATAAATAACAATCCTCGCTTCTTCTTTTTTCATTTTAATCAAGAGACAATGAGCTAAGCATAGTTAATCTATTAACTATGAGCTAAGAGAACTTATCTCTGGACCCAATCGAGAGCCCTACTCGTGCTATTTTTAGCAATAAACTAGTAAAAAAAGCTCAGTATGGGAAACAGATTCTCTTACGTCATTCTCTATTGTTTATATTGGATACACAGGCTAGCAGGTTGTCAATGGCAGATTCATCTCATTAATCGGTCCCGCACGCGCTATCTTAAATCACATTTGTATGCATAGCTCTAAAAACAATTAACTCAAGTAGACAAACATTTGTAAAACCAGAAAACAAGAGTTACTAACTCTGGTAAAACTAACATTTTAATGCATACCATCAATATGGTCATCTTTCAAGCTGAGTAGAGCTTCAGACAGGAACTTTAAATCGTGTAAAGCATTGGCTATAGATTGTTCGTCATATTCCTCGTCATTTTTAACATTTTCTGTTTTCCTTGAATTTCTGTTTTCGCCTTTGGCCGCTGATTCCTTTATTTCCGGACCTGCCTCAATAACTTTGTTTTCTTTTTCATCTGTATCAATGTCTGGTTTATCTGTTTTGAAGACATAACATATAAATACTTGACGTTGAGCGTAACATAAGGAATTCCTTTTTTATTTTTTATCTTTAATTTATTTTTTTAGTAGTTTTTAAAAAACTACCTATGCCCTATAATATGGCCTATGATATCCATTTTGCGAATAGCCTAACTCCGTGTACCTGTTGTAGTTTGATAATGTTTTGGTCGTGATCTTGATATTACTATCCCTTCTTGTCTGACAGTTGCCATTAACATGTTTCGTTCCTTCTCCAAATTTCTCGCTTGTTTCTCTAGTTGTTCAATTTTGATGTCAAACTCTTTCTGTTGTAAAGCAATTTGTTCTTTGGCCTTTTCTTTTTCTCTAGTTAACTGATGTTCAGCTTGGCGCAAAGCAACAAGTGTTTTTGTGTGTTCCGCTCTGACCCCATTTAGCTGTTTTTCAAGGTCTGCCATCTCTTCTGTGAACATAGCTTGTTTCGTTGAAAGGGCTGTGCTTAGTTCTGATATAACAAGATGACTGGCATTACTGTCAAAGTTGAAAACCCACGTTTTCAACGTAAATAAAGCATGCGGGTACTAAAGAAACCTAATCCTATAGTTTGAAAATCCTGAATTATCCACTGTTGTAAACACACATTGAAATAATACAATCATTATTCAATTTGCCGAAAGCTACAACATCATTTGGCAGTCGTTGCACATAATGTAATTCTGAAGGTAAAAAAACAATCAAAATACGACAAAATTCTTTCTTCAAAAGTGATCAATCGAGGTTTCTCTTCTATTTTCCACGTCCCTAATACCCAACCTAATGAAGATTTAATTGACGTACTTTTTTCTGCATCAGTGTCATGCCTAGCCAAGTCAATTTTAAGGCTTTCTAACGTCTCATTTGACTCTTGCAAATCAGCCTGTAAAACGTCTACTTTCTCCTTGAGTGCACTGGTCCGTTTCCTTTCATCTCTAAGCTCGGTTTCAAACTAGATGAAAATAAAGCATATACAGTTAAATTCCTTTGATCCCTGGGGGGAATTCGGGGTAGAAGTACCGAGGATGAAATTTTTAAAAAGACCGCTAAAAGATCCTGGCAGTCTTGAAAAAAGGGCGTGGCTGACTGATTTTTAACCCCCAAGAGAATGCACAACAAATTTTGTTAAATCAAATCAGTTCCAATGATAAAAACGCAAAAGAAAATCAATATCAATGCACTCTTTCTATTCTTTTTTCGACACAAAAGCAAATTTCCAGAAACTCCAAATTGGCACCCTAAAAGATTCTCAATTACGGGCCCTTCAGTTGATATATCTCATGGTAGCTTGACATACGGCATTAGATGCAATCATACATGTATAAGATATCTTCTAAATAGAATGCAATCATGAACTAAAAAGATGAAAGCAGCCATATTGCCAAAAGATTGGTATTACCGTTTATTGAAAACGGATGTGCATCATAATAGCCTCTTCCAGGAGCCCATTACTACCTAGTAATAGGCTCCTGCCTCTTCCTCAGGCATCTCTTTCCATATAGAAATAGGGGGCTTCCTGTTTCAAACCATTTAGAGAGTGGACTAGTAATGAGGAAATAATTTATTTTTTTTTCCAGCAGTCCCATTTCTTCCACAGGGAATCCGAAATATATAAAAACTGGAAAACCAAGATGCTTTAGGGGGAAGGCCAAATGATAAGTACATGTACTGTATGTATTCTAGTCCACGCTGTTCCATTAGTAAGATTTCTAGAGAATCTGTGCTTCAATTACATGTACCTTCTTGATTGTAGATGCTGTTTGCTGTATTTTGTCTTCATACTCTGTTCTGACATTTTCCACCCTACATTCCAGCAGCTCTGCATCTTTGACTGCTTGGCAGGCCAGCATATCCCTTTCCTGTGTTAACCTTGTAATTTCATCCAGAAACTCTTTCTGTGGTTGTAATTCTCCATCATTAACTGTAGAAACAAAGATTTACAGCTGTAAAGGATACACAGTGTAAGATTTCTAAACTAATTACATGTATGCTATCATGGTACATACTAACTGGCGTGTAAATTAATAACTGCATTACTCATGATATCATGGAAAATTGTCCTCAAAAAGGGAAATCAAAAATACCACTGAATAATTTTTAAAAGTTGTTGACATCTTTATGTTTAAAACTAGTTTACATTTTTTTTTTATTTTGCAGGGAATACAATCAGGTATCCTTGAGATGACTGGAAGTGCTTATTTTACAAATTTTGTGATCTCTAGTCATCCAATCACAAGGTCGTTTGAGACCAGTACCTTTTTCTGTATTTTCTTTAAGAACTTCCATCTCATTTTTCCACTTTGCTTGTTTGTGTGCAAACAGACCTATTTAAAAAAATAGAAAAACAAATCTCCCACTAATTATTCAGTGTTTACTATATTGTGATGGCATGAATGAGCATTAGTTAATGGAGACAGAAGCTGTGAAGTGGGAATGAAGCAATGAAGGAAACTTAATAGCAATAAGTACATTCTCTGTTTCCCTTTACTTCAATAATGAAAACTGGACTGTAGACTGGGCCATATATACCTTGCAAGAACTGAACTCTTCCTGTAGCAAATGAAACTCTTTGGGATAAAGAGCCAAGTCTAGAAAATGCTTCCTCCATATTGGAACTGAGTCTATCCATAAATGGAATCATGTTTAATGAGGACTTCAATGTACAGTGGCACTCTCTCAGTGATGATTGCAGTTGTTTCTCATTGGACTCTCTAATAAAGAGTTCCTTTTCCAGTGATTCTGTTTTGTGGACTTCAATTTGAAGCTCTGCATTTCTATCAGTTAAGGTATGCGTCAGGATATCAATGTCATGCTGTAGTGTTTCACATTTTGATTGCAATGATGATACCTAAAATACAGCAGATATAAATAATATCATAAGTAATGCCTTGTGACATGAAACTCTACATTAGCTTAATGTGATACCTAAAATACAGCAGATATAAGTTTAATATCATAAGTAATGCTTGTGACATGAAACTCTACATTAGCTTAATGTACTGTTGTATTACTGCAGCTATAATCATCGTTGATTCACTGATTTCAGAACAACTTGATTTACAACCTGATTGATTGATTGACTGATTGACTGATTGATGGCTGGTTGTTTGTTTGATTGAATTAAATGATTGATTGTTTGGATTGATTGATTGATTGTTTGACTTATATACTGACTGATGGTTAGTTGATTGAATTAAATGGTTGATTGGTTGGTTGATTGTTTTATTGATTGATTGATTGATTGTTTGACTTACTGACTGATGGTTGTTTGATTGAATCAAATGGTTGAT